AGGACTTTCTCCTTATAAAAGAAAGAGTTAGGTAAGGGGAAGTTATTGAGGAGATTTGGGTGGGAGTTGGATGTGGGCTTGGAGAGAAGATTGTTCTTCCTCAGCAGGGATTTCAACAAAGTCTACTCTCTGAGAAATTGTTTCACTAATTTTTAGACTTTGTAATATTTGAGTAATTTCTTTGGTTGGTAAAAGTTTGCTGTGATAGGAGGCTCCGTGGTGAATTTCGTATTTAGGGAATTTTACTTCGTCTGGTAAGGTTTTATTGTATTTTTCTGCTTCTTGGAGTTGTTGAGTGAATTCTCTGTTTTTGTATTTTAACTCCTTTCTTCAATAACCAAATTCTAATTCTAAATTTTGTCCTCAATTCTTCAAGTTTTTTTCTAACTCATTAGCAGTTAGTCTTTTTTTTGGGTCGACCTCTCAACAACGATTAATTAAGTCTTCTAATAATTGCGGTATTTTAATCTGGAATTTAGGTCGTAATCCTTGACATATTTTGAGCGCCAAACCTATATCGTGAGCCACATTATAATAAGGAGGCAAACCCGAAAGAATTTCGTAAGCTACCATTCCAAAAGAATAAATATCACTGGCTTGGGTATATGCTTGATTTTGTAAGATTTCGGGAGCCACATAAGGCAAAACACCAAAGATTTTGTCTTCTTGTTTAGATTCGTCAACCGGTTTACACAATCCTAAGTCAGTAATCAAGCAAGAAGTTTTTTCAATGCCTTTTAGAATATTGCCACTATGAAAATCTCGGTGAACCAAATTCTTGTTATGCATATCTTTAAGTCCACGAGCGATGTTATGTAATTGATTAATTTTGTCTGAAAGTGATAAATCCTTATTTTTGTTACTTAGGTAGTTCCTAATATTGCCCTGGGGCATATATTGCATCACCATTAAATAATTACCGGTTTGAGGGTCTCGAGACAAGCCATAACAAGGAACGATGTTATTAAATCAGTCGTCAATTATTTTATATTTGGCCGCCTCATTAAGAAAATCAGCATTATCTTGGGAATTATTAAGGCTTTTGAGAACAACTTCGCGATAATCCTTACTTTCATCTTTCTTTCGATGTCATTGCTTATTTTTCGTATCCCAATAGTGAATATTTCCCGTAGTTCATTGAGCTTTATACACTTTACCAAATCCTCCTTCGGCCAAGAATTCAATGTTCTTAAAATGTTTGTGGGGAATTCATTCTAATACTTTGCTCGAATCCGTCACTTGAAGTCGGCATTGTTGAATGAATTTGTCAATTTTGGGATTATTGATGATTCACTGAGCAAATTCATTTTTTAACCGGGGGGCGTTACAAACTTGACATCACCGATCTCCTGTGTTTGGTTGTTTACACTCTTCGCACAAGCCATATTTTTCGAATCTAGCACTCAGTGTTTGGTAGTCTTCTTTGTAATTAGCGATTCACGCCGGAGTGTAACCTTTAATCTTCCTTAGTCAGTTTACAAATTTATAATCATCCGCATTAGCTCCCATACTTACTCATTCCTTAACCTGTGAATCAGTAAAATCGTAATTTATTCATTCTTGAAGGCAGTCATAATTTCTCAACTCAAATCCAGTATTTATTCATTCTTTAATTTCCTCTTCTGAAAAGCCGAGTTTTCTCCATTTTTTATATTCTCAAAGACTTTGCGAGAAGCCACTTGCTCACCCTACATCATTTACTATTCACCCCTTCAAACTAACGAGCAAATTATAGATAACTTGACATTTGGCATTTTTTCTCTTTTCTGCTAAACAATTAAATTCTTTAATACTCTCCGGCAAATACTCTAATCCGCTATCAATATCAGTGTCACTAATATTAAGTTCTCACAATTGTTTAAACTCCCTTAAAGGTTCCAAGGAACCGATAAATTTATTATTTGCTAAATCAAGCCTTTCTAAATTAATCGCCTTTTCTAAAAAAGTTAATTCTTGATGGAGAATGTTATTATGTAAATACAGTTCTTCTAGATTATTGCAATCTTGAGGCAAGATAAGTTCTGTTAGTTTATTCATATGGCAATCAAGCATAACTAAACCAAAATGCTTGCTTAAATCTAAGTTAGTTAGTTGGTTAATAAAACAATGAATTTCTCTCAACTTAGAACAATTGCTTAGATTGAGAGAGTCCAGTTTGTTATTTTGGCACCATAAACTCTTCAGATTAACAAAATCAGAAAGATCTAAGGATCCTTGGAGATTTTTGTGACTAATTTTCAACGTAATTATTTTCTTCCTTTCTTCTCTCGGATAAACAGTATCTAAGTATTCCTGAACTGGTTTTTTTTGTTCCGATCATGCATTAAACTCTTCTCACAGTTGTTTTAAATGTAAATCTGGTTTAGGCCGGTGGTTTTTGCCCCTTAAATAAGCGGCAAACTCAATATTCCTATGCCCATCTTTTCAATTAGATTTCAAACCAATCTCTCTTCAAGATTTAGCTTCTTGAGGAGTAAAATTGTGGGCTTTTCACTGATTAACTTGTTCATAATCATCTGGCTTAAATTCGGCGGGGATTCATTCTTTGGCGTCTTGATAGGTCAATCCTTCTCTTTCTCAGAGCCATTGGTAAGACATTTGATAATAATTTAAACCATATCACTTTTTAGCAAAATCCTTATGAATTTCTGCTCAATAAATCATAATATTTATTATACGAAATTAGTAAAGGGAAACCTTTCAATCAAAGATTTAAAAACTATTATACGTAGGGTTTAGTTTGGAAAAAAGGTTATTTTTTGATGCTTTTTCCGGAAAAGTTTAAGTAATTGGTTAAGTTAAATTTGCCTTATTTTTCTTAGGGAAAATTAATCGTCCCATCCCAAACAGATTTCCCAAGTTATTTTGACCTTTTCTATTATTTCTTTATTGGCTATTCCTAATTTTTCTTTTAGTTTCTAAGACATTCAATTAAAAAACTTGGGAATAAGTGGGAGGTCCGCCTTCTATTTCTTGTTCAACTTCGGCTATTGCTTCTACTATCGGTTCACTATTTTTTCACTAATCTTGGTAATGACTCGGTCAATCTTTTTTAAGAGATTTCACGACCCAGTCATACTAACATTTTATTGTGTATTATACTGTAATTCCTTTTCTTTGCCCCTCTTCCTTTTCAACCAAAAAAAAGCAAAGCCAAGCACCAGGCCTAACACTAGAAATATTATCCGAGTTCAATTCGGGAAAATTTCATCAGTTTGCGTGCTGGTTGTTTCCATTTCTTTTGGCCGAATTTGGACTTCTTCGCTTTGGGGATAAGTAATAGATGGAGGAGGTTCAAAAGACGCTTGCAACTTTTCTTGTTCAAACCTATTAATTGTTTGCTGCAAAGTAAGGATTTGTGCTTTCAAGTTGGTAATTTCATTATTTTGGTTTTGTATGGTTTCGGCATTTCAGTCTAATAAACCACTTTGTTTACTAACTTCTGTTTTTAGTTCTCCGTTTTCTTTAACTACCTCTAGGTACCTTATACTATATTCTTTGAGATTACTAATTTCCAACTCATTATCCCGTAAACGGCTTTCAGCAATGCTTAGGGAAGTTCTTTTTTCTAAAAGTTCGTTTTCTAATGCTTGAATTTTAGTTACTAACTCCTCTTTAGTTAAATTTTTTAAATTCTCGCGATAGATAATTCTTTGACTTTGTGTGTTTGAGTTTTCTATCGGTTCATTATCTTCATTTATCATAATTATTTTTTAACTCGTTAAGAGTTAAGAATTCTCTTTCCGAGTTTTCTTCTTCTTGAAAAGGGAACGAATAATTTCCCCTAGTTTTCAAAGACCCATTGGGGCTGAGAGAATGATAACTGTGATAATTGGTCACTTAGCTCGAGATTTTCAATCATCAGAGCCAATACCTAGATTGGCTAACCTTCGCAAAAGTTCTCTTTCTTCTTGAGTATTTTCACCCGGATTATTTTGGGGAGTGGGAGGAATTTGGAATAATAAATAAATTGTTTCCAAAGAATAATTTAGTTCTTTTAATTCTTGGTTTTTAGTAGTTAGTTTTTCATCCAATTCGTTCTTTTTGCTTTCTAGTAGCGAAAACCTTTCTCGGCAATTATTTAGTTCGGTTTGAGTTCTGGCGAGAGAAGCACTAGTTTTTTCTAACCGGTTTTTGGTTAGATTTTGTTCACTTGCTAATTCGGAATAATTCTCTTTTTGAGTGGTCAATTCTTCAGTCAGTTCC